GATTTTAAATTGTGTGGAATATTTGAGAAAGGAAGAAGAGATTGGGTGGTGTGGATGGATCACAGATTGCTTTGGGGGAGCTGTCAGGAATGAGTTATTATATAAGTAGGTTGGAACTATTAGTGTGTTGTTTTTTAATACCTTTAACAATGTCCAAGTGCTTGTTTCTTTTTCGAATATTGCTTAAATTCTTCTTTGTTTTTTAAAGCATTCTTAATATATTGAATAAAATCTCAGTTTCACTTTTTAAAAACATTTAACTTTTACAAAGTTTGGTTATCTCCTATACTTCTGATATAAGGGAATTTTGTTTAGCAACATTTCTTTAAGGCATTTTCTATATTTCCTTTTCTAACTAATGACACTATAGTCATTAGAGATAACTTTCCTTTATCTTGTGTCATGTGCTAGGTCCTTTTTAGTTTACATTCTTAACATCATTTAACATCTTCTATATTAATTCTGTTCCCTTCCTTTTCCCCCTCTTCTACCTTTGAGAATCAGACTGCCATCCACTCTTGGCCAGACTATTGTAGGAGTATTCAGTGGGCTACTTCATTGCTACAAGAGTTCTCTTCCTAAAACACAAATCTGATTATTTCTCTGTAAAACCTTTTAATAGCTCTCCATTTGATCTTAACCTCTTGCTAGACTTCTATAGTCCTGTTCCTCTGTTCTATACACCAGTTTACCTCAGCTCATTATACAAAGCCTGTTCTTCAGCCCAAACTATCCATGGTTCTTCCAAATGTGCATTGCTTTTTCAAGCTTCCGTGTCTTTCATACATTAACTGCTATGTTTCAGATGCCCTTCTTCATTCATCCCTGGCAATTCTTATTCATACTTTTAGATCTGGTTGAGGTAACTTTTCCTTCCTCTAGCTCACTCAAGATTAGTTGATTACTCCTTTTTTGAGCTGCCACTGTACCTCGTATGTGTCTCTGTTACTGCTTTTAATGTGTTATATTGCTGGATTTTTGCATATTGGTCTCCGAGTAGTTTGAGAAGAGGAAGACTTAATTTGCATTTGTCTGAGCAAATTGTACTTAATTGTGAGTTTATATTAAAGATCAATATCATTGAGTATAAATAATAGAAATCTAAACAGAATGAAGACTTCTCAAAATGTCATCAATTTAAAAATCATGATAGTGTAATAATTGAAAAGTAATTTGCTGTAATACACAGCTTGCATTGATGGGTGTGATTTGCTGAGCCACAAATGGCAGGTTAATGGTATCATGGAGACTGGTTCAAACCATATGAACATGATGTTGCAGAACAAAATAGGAAACTGCCCAATTATAAGAAGCCAATCAGTAACATCAGTTGTGCAAATTTTTGTGTATTTATACATTGAAGCAATAACATTGAAGATTAATTGCATTTATGCAAAAAATATACATTCCATTTCTTAACCTATACCATATGAGAAAACAAAAGAATATATTCACAAAATGTTGGAGTAAATCTTATTTTAATTAATGTGGTTTTTGAGGAGTTATAGCATCTAAAATTTAAAAATATCATTAGTCTAAAGCCAGTCAGGTCCCAGAAGATTAGGTAGCAAGTCTTGCACTATAAGCTGGCATCCAGAGATGTAATAGGAAGGCACTCTGGTAGACATATTAGCAAATGCAAAGGTTCTGGTCTTCAACAGTGTTATAATCATTTCACCAACCACCAGGTAATTGAAGTTAACTTTTTAATTCCTAAAACATTTTCTATTTCCCCTTTGCTGGCAGCTTCAAATCCTACTGCCATCATGGGTTCCTCTCAGCTTCTGTGTCCCACTTCTCATATCCTTGCCTAAATTGTTTTTTTCTAATCTGTTATGGATAAGACACCAAAAATAAATGGGCTTTGAATGAAAGTTCAGATTCTTAGACTTTGAAATAGGTGTAAATAAAAAAAAAAATTAATTCCATGTTCAAAGGTGAATTCTGAAGATTTGTATTTTAGAAAAGTCATCTGCTGGTTGAGCTAGCTATTGTTGTATGTTATTGAACAGTTAACTAGAGAATAAATTATTTGCAGCCCGGCCCATGTGGCTCAGTTGGTTGAGCAACATCAGGAAGTCACATATTTATCAGGAAGTCACATATTTGATTCCTGGTCAAGGCACATGCCTAGGCTGCAGGCTCAATTCCCAGTAGGAGATGTGCAAGAATCAGCTGATCGATGTTTCAACTTCTCCCTTCCTTTCCCTGAAATCAATAAAAACATTTTTTTAAAAGAAATTATTTCCGCCGAAATCGGTTTGGCTCAATGGATAGAGCATCAGCCTGTGGACTGAAAGGTCCCGGGTTTGATTCTGGTCAAGGGCATGTACCTTGGTTGTGGGCACATCCCCAGGGTGGGTGTGCAAGAGGCAGCTGATAGATGTTTCTAACTCTCTATCCCTCTCCCTTTCTGTAAAAAATCAATAAAATATATTTTATTTAAAAAAAAGAAAAAAATTATTTCCAAAGGTGTAGAGTAGGTTTTATAGATCTGAATCTTTAAGTTTTTCTTAAAGGAGGCAATACTTAAGCTATAATGATATGCAGTAGTTAACCAGGTTAAAAGGCGTAGAAAGAGGAAGGTGGCACATAAAGATGAGAGAGTTGGCCACTTGTGAGTAAAGGGCATGGTGGTTGCAGCAAAATGAGTGAGGGAGAGTGATACATGGCTGGATGTATAGTAAGGAGTCACATATTGATGACTTTTGAACTTGATTTTAAAAGCAATGGAAAACCATTTTTAAGAAGAGGAATTTACATTTTATGAAAATTATTCTGGCTGTTTGCCATGGCAAGATTGGAATGTAAAGGTTAACAAAGAGCGTTGCCCGATTTGGCACAGAGGATAGAGTGTTGGCCTGCAGACTGAAGGGTCCCGGGTTTGATTCTAGTCAAGGGTACATACCTGGATTGCAGGCTTGATTCCCCAGTAGGGGGCGTGCAGGAGGCAGCAGATCAATGATTCTCATTATTGTTATTTCTATCTTTCCCTTTCTGAAATCAATATTTAAAAAAATACTTTTTAAAAGTGTGTTTTACAGTATGTAAATTATAACTTAATAAATCTGTTATGTTTAAAAGTTTAAAAAAATCAAGGTTAACAGAGGGAAAGGCTGTGGAGAGTTGAATGTGGCTTTGGTAGGTGAGGGTGGTGGCAAGGGAAAGGGGGAAGTGGATAGATTATGATGAAGGTAGAATCAATAAGGGCTTTTTGTGTTCCAATAATATGATTGCTTTTAGTTACCTCCCGATATGCTGTTTTGTATCTGCTGTTCTTTTTTTCCCTCTCCTATTTTGACTAGCAGGCAAACTCCCACTAATCTTTCAAAACCTCCCTCAGAAACTATCACTTGATATGCAGGTTGGCTTTTCGATCTTTATTAATTGCTTTTTATCTAGTTTGACCAGTTTCATTGTAGTCAAACCTAGATTATAGGGTTAAGAAATGAATGACTGATCATGAAATTTATTCACTATCCCAAATTTGACCTCATCCCCAAGTGTTCGAAAGGGTTTTCATATCAATTTAAACATAACTAAATTGCTGTTCTTGACCCTGTGAGGATGAGGGCCAGTGCTTCATGTCCTTACACAAAGAAATAATTATCCTCCAGAGGGCGCACGTTACAAAGTCATTGTGGTCAGATAAAACTGGTATTATACTAATATCAAACATGCCCCTCCATCTACTGGTCACAGGGAAAAAAATCATCTTATGTATTTTTCAGCTTTCTAACACTACACTTATGAATATACCTTTTTTTCATTCTTGAGTCTTTATGAAAAATTACAGAATTTTCTATAAATATCTAAAAAAAAATATTAACTGTATTTAGATCTAGAAATTACAATACTGTTCCTGTAATTTTGTGTTTACTTTCTGGCACTATTCTTTTTCTTTCTTTTTAATCTTTATTGTTGAAAATATTGCATACATCCTATTTTTCTCCCATTGACCCCCTTATAAACCGTCCCCACCCCAGCCCTCCACTACCCTATTGTCTATGCCCATGGATTATAATATATATATATATATATATATATATATATATATATATATATATATATATATTCTTTGATTTCTTCCCTCCCACAATTCCCCCACTCCTGCCTTCCCTCTGAGATTCAACAGTCTGTTGTTCCATGCTTCTATGTTTCTGGATCTATTTTTTCATTAGGTTCCAAATATGAGCGAGATCATGTGATACTTGTCTTTCTCTGATTGACTTTTTTGTTTTTAAACTTGCATATACTGCTCCTCAAAGTAATTGTTTTACTCCAACTCTCTGCTTTGTTTAAGTACTAGAAACTGAAACTATGTGATGAAAGTCATATAAAATTATACAAATTCATTTTGTTGTACTTATTTTGATTTGTTATAAAGGTAGTTAAATTACATTGATATAACTGAGTAGCTGTTTAGTAATCTGGAATACCCATAAGGCAAATATTCTTATTAACATATTCACCAGTAGGTTACTCTGTCATACACAAGATTATCCTGGGTAGTTAGATGTGGTTGAATGATGAAATTTAGACTTAGGGAGTAGAGAAATTTAGATTATGGAACTAAAGATGAATAATTAGCACCCATGTAGATTTTTGTCGAGTTCAGTGACTAACAAAAGGTCAGTTTACAGAATTGAGGGCCATTACCAATGTTATTTATTTGCACTTTGCTTTTGTGTTGGTTCTATGGAAATTATAGTTTTGATATGAAAGAAAAATGGTTTTATTGTACTATCCACTTGATTTTGGCTTTTCCCCTAGTTTTTAATATAATGGTTAAATATCTAGGGCATTTTACCTCTATACCCAAGGTCAGATAAAACTGGTATTATACTAATACTACACTTATGAATATACCTTTTTCCAAGGTTGTTAATGTTTATAGTTGTATGATATTTCTGTCTTTTCTTTTTACAGTGTGGGTTCCTTTTTCTCTTTTTCCCCCATTTTAACATCTGTTGTTTTGTTTGTTTTTTTCAAACACACAGGAATACTCTGAAGATAGTAACTCCGAGCCAAATGTGGATTTGGAAAATCAGTACTATAATTCCAAAGCGTTAAAGGAAGATGACCCAAAAGCAGCATTAAGCAGTTTCCAGAAGGTTCATATTTTTTCTGGTTGATTCTGTGTCTTAAAGCTTTTTTTTTTTTTTAAATGATGTCTTAGGTCAAATAAGTTCCAAGTGATTTTACCTCAGAAATGTGTGATACTTAATGATAATCCTATAAAATTTTTGCATTTTGCAGCATGAAAATCCTATATAATCATCCTATGTAATAAAGAGGTAATATGCAAATTGACCACCATTCCAACTCAAAAAAATGGCTGCCCCCATATGGTCAAAGATGCCCACTCCCATGTGGACACAAGATGGCTGGTAGGGGATGGCAGTTGGGCAGGACCAGGCTAGCATGGGAGGGCAGTTAGGGGCAATCAGGCGAAAAGGGGAGCAGTTAGGCGTTGATCAGGCTGGCAGGGGAGTGGTCAGGAGGTGATCAGGCTGGCAGGCAGAAGCGGTTAGGGGCAATCAGGTAGGCAAGCAGTTGGGAGCCAGCAGTCCTATATTGTGAGAGGGATGTCCCACTGCCCATTTACGCTTAAATGGGCAGTCAGACATTCCTTGAAAGGTCCCAGATTGAAGATGGTGCAGGCTGGGCTAAGGAACACACACCCCTCCCCACACGCCCCTTCCCCCCCACCCCACCCACACAAATTTTGTGCACCCGGCCTCTAGTATATTTCTAAAGGTCTGTCCTGTGGTTGTTTATTTCCCATCTAGCTTTTTATAGCGCCAGGGTTATTGTCCTGAAAAATTATTATGGTTCTGGTAAGGGAACCAACATTATAGTAAGTAGATATTATCCCTGCAATCTTTTGGGGACAGATTACATAGGTGTAGTTTCATTATTAAATAATGTGATTTCTTGACTAATGATATACTTTTGGGTTATTTCAACCAATGGATAATAGACTATGGAAAAAAAAATACTTCTGGAACTATATAGTAATCAAGAAGTAGTTATTACTTAATTTTTTGATGAAGAAACATCAAAATAAACTCCTTAAGTAAGCATTTTAAGATTGTTTCTTTTTTAGCCTTTAAAAATAATATTGAAAAATTGAATTCTTGGGGAAATATTTTTCTTGCCTATGATGTAAAATAAATTAGAAATTTATTTACTGGCCGGGACCGGTTTGGCTCAATGGATAGAGCGTCGGCTTGGGGACTGAAAGGTCCCGGGTTCGATTCCGGTCAAGGGCATGTACCCTGGTTGCGGGCATATCCCCAGTAGGGGTGTGCAAGAGGCAGCTGATCGATGACTCTCTCTCATCGATGTTTCTGACTCTCTATCTCTCTCCCTTCCTCTCTGTATAAAATCAATAAAATATATTTAAAAAAAAAAAAAAAAAAAAAAAAAAAAAGAAATTTATTTACTGAATGTCATTAGAAAATAATAGTATTAAGTTAGACTAAGAATTTCTTCTTTTTTTAGGTCTTGGAACTTGAAGGTGAAAAGGGAGAATGGGGCTTTAAAGCACTGAAACAAATGATTAAGATTAACTTCAAGTTGGTAAGATTTGTTTTGAGAGGAATTAAAATAATAGGTTTTAAAATAAAATCTGTAGGTAAAAACCTCATGCGACAAAATACCATTATATCTACTTGTTTAAAATAACTGTTTATATGTTATCATATTTAGGCAAGTTTTTATGACTACAATAATACTAAGTTTTAAAAAAGTTCTAAATAGCATACAAAGTTTTTTTTTTTGTTTTTCAACAGTTTTTTGTTTGTTTGTATGTTTGTTTGTTTTTTAAGAAAACTTACCCATTAGGTACATGGGCAATATTTGTCTGCATTATTAATAGAGTAATTTCTCCACAGACTATTAGCATTTAACATTTTACTTTTAAAACTTTAACATTCTTTTTATTACAAAGAGTTTCTCTCCCACTGATTAAGGCCAGAACCTATCATTATTAATTAGCATTATTATTGACTTCACTCTGTATCACTCAGCATGCAAATAATTTGTTGGTAAATCTAGTTTATTGGTGGCTTTATAGCTCTTCAGAATATATCTTGTTTTCTGTTCTGTCACTTGTTGATTGGCCTCTTTGCTGTTCCTCATGTCATCTAAGCACATTCCTATATAAATGCTGGACTTGCTCTTTTATCTACCCCACATGTTCTTCACAGATAGCCATATTGCTATTTTCATCATTTAATCAAGTTTCTATTCAAATGTCATCATATATCAGGATGTCCTTCCCCTGACCACCCTCTATAAAATAACATGCTTCCCATCATCATTTACTTTCATCTTACCCTGCTGTTTTTCTTTTTTGCGTGTATCACCACCTGATCTGTTTACTTATTTATTACTTTTATGTCACCTTCCTCCCACCCCAATCCATAGCGTGAAAGTTCCATGAGAACAGGAATTCATTTTATTCATCGTTATATTCCTAGCACTTATCATAGTGACTGGCATTCAGTAGGTGCACAAATATTTTGTTGACTGAAGAGGGATTGGGCCCAAACCAGTGGTTGGACATCCCCGGAGGGATTGCTAGAGAGCTCAGGCCAGGCTGATGAACCACCACCACCACCACCACCATCACCATCCACACACACACACACACACACACACACACACACACACGCCCTTCGCCTCTCATGCATGAATACATGCACAGGGCCTCTAGTCTTTCAAGAATGCAGAGTAAAAGTGGAGGGTAAAAAAAGCAGTTAGTAGATGAGAGAACTAGGTACAGACATGATATTTATCTTAAGATCGCTAAAGGCAGAGGAACTTTTAAGGAAAAGATAAAGTGGAGCTTAGATTAGAAAGCAGAGGTAGGCACTTGCCTCTATAGCAAATGGAACTTATTACCACCTTCTTTTTTCCCTGTCTCTGAGTTTGTGCCTCCTCTTTCCACATTAGCTTCTCTATCCTATCTCCATCTGAAATTGAACTACCTAAATTGATTAGTGACTATCCAGTTAACTTCACTAATCCTGCATGCTGCTCTTTTTGGTGTACTCTCCTTCTGACATCATCACCCATATCCAGGACATCTACAGAAACTATCCACAAAATATTTTAGCTTAGTTTCTTCCCCAAAAATATAAGAACTGTTTAAAATATGTTAAATGTTATTAAGTAAACTGTATATTGTATTTACATATAGTTAAGGAACCCTGGCCAGTATAGGGTGTCATCCTGTGCACCAAAAGGTTGCTGGTTTGAAGTACATGCTCAGTTTCAGGCTAAATCACTGCTAGGGGGCAAGTAGGGAGCAGCCAATTAATGTTTTTCTCTCTCTCTCTAAAAAATAATTTAATTTTTATTTTTTTATTTTTTTTTAAATATAGTGGCCAAAACAGGTTTGGCTTAGTGGATAGAGCGTCCCAGGTTCGATTTCAGTCAAGGGCATGTCCCTTGGTTGCGGGCACATCCTCTGGAGGAGGTGTGCAGGAGGCAGCTAATCAATGTTTCTAACTTTCTATCTCTCTCCCTTCCTCTCTGTAAAAAAAATAATTATATTTTTAAAAAATAAATAAGTATAGTGGGAAAATACCTTTATTTCATTTGCCCTTTTCTAGTTCTGCTTCTATGATATTCTCAAAGTAACCCTGTGTTACATAAAGCCCCTGTGTTTTTTTTCCATTTATTGTTTGTGAAAATATTTACTGTATTTAAATCAGTAAGTTAGAGGGCTGTGGAAAAAGCAGCAGATGACTCAAGGTGTAGAGATTTTGATTAAATAATTATAGTGACATTAGGAACCCCATGTTAACTTTTAAGATTTTGTGATTTGAAATAATACCAAGAAACCCTATAGAAATTCTGTTACTGTAATTAAAGCAATGTGCTGTCTTAACAATTAAGAGTGATTTAATTTTTGAACCCATTTAAGCATATCCTACACACAGGGCTTGATTTCACCATTGTACCTAGAGCCAATATAGGAAGCAAGTAAGGGAAAGGATGATATATGTTTTATGTTATTTTGCCTACTTTCCTCTCCGACATTTTATTTGTTCTACATACGTTAAGATTTATATGAGTAGTTTCAGCTTCCATTCCTGCCCCTTCATTTTCTGGTTGGTTCCGAATAGGACCCATTTGCTGTGTAGTGGTTTGGGGCAGTAAAAAATTAAAAGGTTTGTTATCAACTACTCTGTTTGTTCACAGCAGATAAAACCAATTTACCGAATCTTTCCTCAATCTTTAATTATAGTAATAATTTTTGAACAGTGAACTTCATTCGAAGTAATGGCATAAGAAAATGAAATCAAGTCTTTTTTGTTAAAATTCTATTTTAAGATATGATCTCAAAATTTGGACAGTCATATTTTCTATTTTCCTTTTGTCAAAAGATACATTCTGTAATTACCTATTAGCAATTTACTAATAGGATGTTACTTAATATTTATTCCCCACATGCTACTGGCTACAACTTACTAATAGGAAGTTACTTAATATTTATTCCCACATCCTCATTCTTGGAAAGAGAAGTAGTTTGATATATAATGCTAAATCTTTTTCTGTGTTCTATCCATTTTTCCATCCACCCCTATTACTGTTTTCATTTTTGTAATTCAGTTCTTGCTCAGAAAATTTTAGGGACTCATCTTATGGTTTTTTGTTGTTGTTTTTTTCCTTCTTCTTGTCTCTTAGGCTATATCCCAGAGCAGGGCATAGTCATAAGCAGGAAAATTACAGTATCATTAGTTTATTCTTCACCCTAATAAATGGTTTTTTTTCTACTCAAGGAAAAAAGCATTATAACTGTCAGTGCTCCTCCTTTCTGTGCTGGAAATTTTACTAGTAGTCCTTTATTTCTTCAGATCTTTCATATTTCCTGGAATAACCACAGTATTGCAAATAGAGCTGCAAGGAATGGCAACATTAGCTACATCTGCTTTTGAGTAGAGCCTTACATGGGAGAACTTTTCTTGATTGTGGAATGAATACCTGTGAAGAGATTCTTTTACATCACATTTTAATGCAGAGTCAGCCAATACTAGGGAGAAGAGAAATGTAACTATTGTTAGAAAGCATCATGGTGAAGAGGCTATAGCTGATACCTGCATAGCTGGTCCCCAAGGCATTTTAAAAGTTGTATTTATATTTTTTGACTGATGGATATTTTAGTGCTTTTTATGACTTAAATAAATGTTTGTTGCATAGAAAGGAACAATATCTAAAATTTGAAAACTAAAAAGTATACTTTCCTGGCCAGCATGGCTCAGTAGTTGAGCTTTGACCTATGAACCCAGAAGTCACGGTTTAATTGCTGGTCAGGGCACATGCCTGGGTTGTAGACTTGATTCCCAGTAGGGGGCGTGCAGGAGACAGCCAGTCAATTGTTCTCTCTCATCATTGATGTTTCTATCTCTTCTTCCTCTCTGAAATCAATAAAAATATATTTAAAAAATAATTTTTTAAAAAAATAAAAAGTTGTACTTCTTCATAGGCTAACTTTATAAATTTAGTTCATGCATCTGAGTAATTCAAATTTAAGTTAAAATGTTTATAGTGTTTCTGTCATAGTTTATCATAAAACTATTATTCTTCGGTTATGCTGAAATATGTATTATAATTTTAATCGTTTATACATATTTTGTATATAAATGTGTAATAATGCATTTTTCTTCACTCACAGACAAACTTTCCAGAAATGATGAACAGATATAAACAACTATTGACCTATATTCGAAGTGCAGTCACAAGAAATTATTCTGAAAAATCCATTAATTCTATCCTTGATTATATCTCCACTTCTAAACAGGTTAGGTTCTGGTTTTCTTCTTGGTACCTCTCGGTGTGCTTATTATTTATATTCAAGACTTTGTTTTTGTTTTGTTTTAAGGCCTAGAAATTCTATGGAAGCATTTTTTGTTGTTGTTAGTGTGCTTTTAAAATTTTGTTAACTATTTTCTGGATTATGGTACTAATTTTGTAATATTAAAAGGTATTAACTCTAGTCTAATCTCCTCACATAATATCTTCAGATACTGACATAACCTACACACAGTTTTTACTGGCTGATATTAGATTCCCCTTTACAGTTACTATCACAATTGCTCTACACTCCATCAATACTTCAGGCAGCCATCCTGAGCTACTTAAATACTTAACAGTAAATCACAATTGATTTGTGTAGATTTGATTATAAAGTTCCTTCAGAGGAGAATCTGTATTCATATAGTTAGTGTTTGGCATTACTCATTAGGTGTTTGTTCAAAAAATGCTTCTGTAAAGGAAGGATGGATGGATGGATGGATGGATGGATGGATGGATGGATGGATGGATGGATGGATGCTGAAAAGAGGGGCTGTTGATAAACTACAATGAGCATTGGGAGTGATGGTGCTTTCATTATTCTAGATTTTGATTAAAAAAAGCAATGGTGATTTTTATTTTATTGCTAAGATAATTTTTAATTGGTTTGTTTTTTCATATTCTTTTAAGCAACATAGTACTAAGTTTCATCTTTCTTACACTGGTATTTGAGCATAAAAAGTATTCTTTATATAATTTAATACTTCTTAAAATATTTGATACTTTTTATATTCATAATAAAAATGTTCACAAAATCAACCTTTTGTTCCATCTATTCTACTAGATATCATTATTATTTCTTGAGGCAGTGTACTATTTTTACTCTATGTAAAAGATATGTGATTAGAGGAAGATAAACTTATGTTTTGTTAGAACATTTGTATTTAATGACACTAATTCTAAAGGTGTTATGTATCAAGGGGCTTGTCTTAAGTGGGAAAATGTTTTCTGAATTTTATAGGCAAATACCATCAAAACATTTTTTGGTACACTATTTATAAATGTTATGCCAGATTGTGGAGTGAGGGTTAAGTAATTATAAAACTTCAGGATTGTATGTTGTTTCATACTATTATATATAAGCTATTTGTCTTTTGAAGGTAAGAATAGATATTGAATGGCCAGCACTTGACTTATTCTGTAAACCATCAGTAGTCATAAATAAATAGGCAGCCCTTTCTGAAAGTATCAGTCTTTCCTGTTCTCATTTCCCCATTGCTACTTGATCCTAGTAAGTAGAAATAGTGCTTACCTCACAGTACAAACCAAATAAGAGTGAACAAGGAAACACTGTTTATAATAGTACAACTAGTTCTGTGTATGGTTCATGTACTTTTAAGATAAAATGAGGTGTTAGATTAGAAAGGACAAACCTATACTATTAGAGTATTATATATTTTCTGTTGTTTTGTGGGGGGTTTTTTAATTCACATTAAACCATCTTGGCACGTATCTTTTGTAAATTTAGTCTATTATTATGTATTTTTGTGGACTGTCGCAGACATTTGGTAAGATACAGATGATAGTGTACCTTATGTATATTAAAGTTCAAAGATGCACTTTTAGTTTGCTCAAATTAACTTTATTAACAGGTACAAATTTGCTGTTTACAATTATAGAATTCTGATTTTTTATGTCAGATGGATTTACTGCAGGAATTTTATGAAACAACACTGGAAGCTTTAAAAGATGCTAAGAATGATAGACTGTGGTTTAAAACAAACACAAAGGTAACGATTATAATTATTTACATTTTTTCTTTTGAAGAGTGGGTGGGTTTTCTTAAACTCATAAAAATGCACACCTTCTCCTATTGAAATGTTTTGTTTTTAATAAATTCCTTTCTTTACAGCTTGGAAAATTGTATTTAGAACGGGAGGAATATGGAAAGCTTCAAAAAATTTTACGCCAGTTACATCAATCCTGCCAGGTAAAATTTTCTTAAATTTTTTTAAAAAATATATGTTTTTATTGATTTGAGAGAGAGAGAGAGAGAGAGAGAGAGAGAGAGGGAGGAAGAGGGAGAAATAGAAGTATCAATGATTGACTGCCTCATTCATGCCCACTCCCTGGGATCAAGTCCACAACCTGGGCATGTGTCCTGACCAGGAATCAAACCAGCAGTCTCTTGGTTAATGGGTTGATGCTTTACCACTGGGCCATACCAGGTGGGCTCCATTAATTTTTTATTAACATTTCTTAATAATAAAAAAGCATGAGAAAATTTTGTATTCAAAATATTGCTTATTGGTGTTTTTGTTCAAGCAATATCCCAAAAATGAAATTTGGAAAATAAGTTACCAGAAAGCTCATTTTTTCTGAGCATTACATTTCTCCTGTTTTACTCCTAACTTCAGTTCTTGTTTGTGGGATGAGGCACAGGTATTAATAAATGAACAGCCAATCATTAATACTTACTAAGAATAAGCCTTTCTTAATTAGTTATGCAGAAAAGGATATTATAGACATATATAATGAAGATGTATATTCTATTTTATAATGTGTGAATCCCCTATAACAGCACTATCCAGGAGTTGGTATGATGTGAGAAACACTATCTGTGCTCTCCAATATGGTAGCAGTAGCTACATGTCATTAGGCATTTTAAGTGTGGCTGGTGTAACAGGGGTGCTGAGTTTTATATTTCAATTAATTTAAAATAATTTTATTGATTTCAGAGAGGGAGAGAAAAAGAAAGATCAGTGATAGGAAAGGATCATTGATTGGCTGCCTCCTGCATGCCCCACACTGGGGATCAAGCCTGCAACCCAGGCACTTACCCTGACCAGGAATCAAGCCATAACCTCCTGGTTCATAGGTTGATGCTCAACCACTGAACCATGCCAGCGAGGCTCATTAATTTAAATTTGAATCACACATGGTCTGATGGTCTGGACAGTGTACCTCTATATAATTTTTAGCTATGATTTTTATATTTCCTTATTGTCTTGATAAATAAGTTATTTGATATTAATTTTAATTTTATGTAGAAATACTGTTTTTAAAAGTTGACACTTTTCACCCTGTCCAGTTTGGCTCAGTGAATAGAGCATGGTTTGGAGACTAAAGGGTTCTAGGTTCAATTCTGGTAAAAGGGCACATGCCTGGGTTACAGCCTCAATCCCTAGTGGAGCGTGCAGAAGGCAACCAATCAGTGATCATCTCTTCATTGGTGTTTCTCTCTCTCTCTCTCTCTCATCTCTCCTCTCTCCTTTCTCCTTTTCTCTGTCTTCTCTCTCTTCCTCCCTGAAATCAATAAAAATATATTCTAAAAATTAAAAGTTGACACTATTCCAAAGCCGTGTACTATTATTTTAATTATATATGATTTCTGTGAATGTGGGAAAAGTTGATTAAGAATGTGTTAAAAATTAATCACCTGCCAATATTTTTTTATTTTGCTCTTTTTAGTTTTTAAAAATAAGAAAAGTATTTGTAATTCATAATAGTTTTGCTTTACAAAGCAGGTCAGTCATTTATGAATTACTTCTTACCTACACTTCTTAGGAAAGCTTAGTTTGGTGCATAAATAACTGTCATTACGGTCCCACATGAAATGGAAGTTATAAAGAAGCCATTTCTGAATGGAGAAGGATCTTTCAGTATATACATAAGGAATATGAAAATTTTGTGTGATTTATTTTAGTGTATAAGGAAAACATCTAGATTGTAAATAATACAGTGTAGCAGTGATGCTTGATCATCTGAATGTACAAATTGTCTTGCAGAACATAATTTTTACTCTGCTGTGATTCATTAGTGTGTAACTAAAAACGTTTTAAGTTGGAAGACCAAATAAATAATAAATTTTGGCTTTGTATAAATCGGTATTTAATATTTATGATTATCTGACTATTGACTATACTAGAGGCCCGTTGCACAAAGATTCGTGTGGTAGTCCTTCCTTCCTCTGGCTGCCAGCACCGGTTTCCTTTCGGCACCCGGGACCCAGGCTTTTGCTCTGGCCACTGCCGCCTTCCTTCGCTCCAGCCAGAGTCTTCGCTGACTCTGGCCAGAGTTTGCAGGCTTCTTGCTGACTCTGGCCAGAGGGCCGTTCCTGTAGCTCCTTACACACACACACACACACACACACACACACACACACACACACACACACACACACCCGCCCTCCTCCTCATAGCAGGCGTCCTGCCCCACCAGGCCATGCTGTGCCTGGAGCAGCTTGAGGGGGTGGAGCCACCATCATCTTTGTCCTGCTGATTTGCATATCCCCTCCTGATTGGCTGGTGGCATCACGGAGGTATGGTCAATTTAGGTATTTCTTTTTTATTAGTGTAATGCTGTTTTTCTGAATATTGACCATATGCATTTTGTGGTTATCTTTCAAAGTTGAACTCAAATGTCACCACTCTTGTTAATTTTTTTGACATCCTCCAGGAGAGTTAGTCCCTTTCTCATCCATACCAACCCTAGGTACTTGGTTCATGCTTAAAACTGCAGTTGTTATCATTTATAATGTAATTTATCTTGATAGCTTAATCTACTGATTGTGAACTTTTAGGCCAGGAACATTGGCTTATTTAACTTACCCAAAGTAGACCCAGTGCCAGGCACAAGGAAGGCACTCAGGTTTGTTTTTTTTTTTATTGAATCAGTGGATCTGAAAAGGTTGTGAATATTTGGGAAAAAGCATAAATAACCTCCTAGATAAAAAATAAACATTATAACATTTTCTTTTATAATATTTTGATTGATTCCAGAGAGAAAGGGGTAGGATGGGGAGGGGGGAACAGAAATATTAATGATGAGGGAAAATCATTGATTAGCTGCCTCCTGCAGGCCCCCAATGAGATTGAACAGGTAATTCAGGCATGTGCCCTGACCAGGAATCAAACCATGATCTGGTTCATTGTTCTATGCTCCATCACTGAGCCATATCAGCCAGGCAAACATTATAACATTTTATACATAATATACCTCTGGCCACTTTTTCTTACAGAATACCAGAAAGTATAAGGTTACTTTTTGGCCATTAAAGGTAGTTGTCTTAGGGCTCTAGGTTCCGATTAAAATTTGTAGCGCATTCTCACACAAAATAAGAAACTTATAAATGTAAGGTAAAAATCAAATAAAGATTACTAGACTGACTGTGAATTCTATCTTGAATTCTAAAGTTTTATTATTTGCTTTACTAGACTGATGATGGAGAAGATGACCTGAAAAAGGGTACACAGTTATTAGAAATATATGCTTTGGAAATTCAAATGTACACGGCACAGAAAAATAACAAAAAACTAAAAGCACTCTATGAACAGTCACTTCACATCAAGTCTGCCATCCCTCACCCGTTGATCATGGGAGTCATCAGAGGCAAGTTTGGTTTGGAGAGGGTGGGCAGTGTCCTGGAAGACATAAAGTTGTCATTGCAAATAACTGAATGACTCTGAAGGTCATTTCTGTTTTAGTGAAAGTAATTGGCAAAGTAGTGAAGTCAATGAAATGATATAGTCCTAGAAAGAAGTGAGGATGGATTTTTGTCTTGTAAATTTATATCATTGAAGATAATAGAAAATGTATTATCATAAATTCTATTCTAGAATTGCAATAATGTATGAAAAATTCAGTTGAGAAGAAAAACTTACAAATGCTTTTTTGGCTGATTCCATAAAATAAAAGATAATATGCAAACCAACCAAATGGCAGAATGACTGGTCGCAATGACATGTACTGACCAACCAGGGGCAGATGCTTAATTTAGGAGCTTCCCCCTGGTAGTTGGTGCGCTTCCACAGCTGGAGTGCCACTCAGCCAGAAGCTGGTGAACGCAGTGGCAGGAGCCTCTCCTGCCTCCACAGCAGCAACTGATGGCTCTGGCCCACTCCCAACATCCCCCAAGGGCTCCTGGACTGTGAGAAGGCACAGGCCAGCCTAAGGGATCTCCCCTCCCCCAAGTGTACAAATTTCATGCACCAGACTTCTCATGTTTTAATAAAGAGCTTGTTTTTTAGAGGTAGTGTACGGTTCATGTAATAAGAATTAAAAGACTGGAAGCCAATGAAATAATATTCATTTATTTTTTATGAAGTGCTCAGTCTTGTTATGACACTGAATATGTTATCTTATGGTTTATTCCTCTACAGAATGTGGTGGTAAAATGCACTTGCGGGAAGGTGAATTTGAAAAGGCACACACTGATTTTTTTGAAGCCTTCAAGAATTATGATGAATCAGGAAGTCCAAGAAGAACCACTTGTTTAAAATACTTGGTCTTAGCAAATATGTTAATGAAATCGGGAATAAATCCATTTGACTCACAGGAGGTATGTGTGTTCATTTCTGTCAGCTGTCTTTCATGGAAATAAACTTTGTACATATAGTTAATTGTTCTTTTACTGTATTTAGGCCAAACCGTACAAAAATGATCCAGAAATTCTCGCAATGACGAATTTAGTAAGGTAAGATTCTATATTTCAGTTAAGGTAACTTTATTTAGAGCAGTGAATAAAGGGAAGAGAGAGGAGAGAACTTTTTAGAATTCAGTTAATTCTCAACAATTACTCTTTTATAAAGTATTTGTTGCTTTTCTTACCTGTGTGCTGTTTTTCAGTAGAAAGCTGACTAGATGTTTTCAAACAATTTCACTGTACTTACTGTTTATACCTGCCTTAATCCAAAATGAAATTCTGAATTGGTCCACATAAATCAGGAATTTTCAATAAGACAGTTACTTTACTCATGTTTTAGAGTGGAAAAAAGAGGGAGAGACAGAGAGAAGCTTCGATATGTGAGAGGCACATCAATTGGTTGCCTCCAGCACATGCCTGGGTCAGGGGATGGAGCCTTCAACTGAGGTACGTTCCCTTGACTGGATCAAAACTGCCAACCTTCTGTCTGTGAGCCAATGTTCTAACCACTGAGCAAAACTGGTAGGGCATAAAAAACCATTTAAGAAAGGTTTATCTCAGATAATTTTCTGAGGTAAGGAGCAGAAGAGTCATATTGATAAGATATCTAAGGTGTTTTTTTTTTTTTATAGCTTCCATGAAGAGAAATGACTAATGATGGTTAGCAACTGAAAAACCTCCTGTAACTAATATTAAGTAAAATCATAGAAGACAAAAACAAGCAAAAAGCTTTTAAGGGGGGATAGGGGGGAAAAGGCATAGTTTTGCTAAAGAAATCAGTGAACAAGAATTATTTTTCTCTGTGCCAGGAATAAATGGAGCCCAAACTTCAACGGACTTTCTTTGTAGAAAAGTATGAGAAACTTACTAATTTTCCAAGGCATGAAAAACGAAGTGAGGGACATAGAGCAGGGTTTTGTTTTTTTGCAGATATATGTAGGTAATTTACCTGACTAGACATTCTCTTTTTAAATGAAAAGAACTTTTAGATTATAAATTCAGTCACCAAATATTAATTTTATATACTTGGAAAAACTAGCTACTTCATGATATTGTTTGCTTTGTTTTTACGTGGCTATGATTTTTATAAATTACTAGGTTCTTTAAGGAAACCTTAATTTTAGTTGTAGAAGTAATGACTTTATTTTAAGGGATCTACGAGTGGTTAAGGAACAAAAACCCTAAGTTGCAACATTTTAAAAAATAAGTTTCTTTACTACTTATTTTTTCATCTATTTTAATAAATATTTGTTGAATTAAATTGATTTTAGTTATAAAAATAAAATTTAGTTATAAAAAATTTCTTCATCTTTATTTTAAATACTTCCACCTGCATTTGGCCACATTGACTAAGATGTGATTTAGCTAGAGATTAATTAACTTCATAAAGTTCACTTTCTAAAGTGACAATTTAAACTTTAGAACTCTTAAAGAAATATAAGTTTTTCCTAGATGTTAATATTTTATCTAAATTGATTTAATACATTAAATGGATTAAAGTACTGATTTATCAGATCATTACAAAACAATGGCTATATTTATTATATCTTACAATTTACTTCAGCAAGGCCTCTCATCCTGGGATTTGGAAACTTCAGTAGTAAATTTTTACCCAAACAAGAGGCCTGTGATACCCCACATTTGGTATAAGATTTTCTTAAGCCACCTGAATAGTGGAGGAATCTCTGTTAAAATAAATGTGTGTGCAAGTATTTTCACTACTTGAATATATCCTCCAGTGTATTTATGGCAATATATTTGGATAGGTAAGAAAGTAATGCTTCCTAATTTTATCTTCCTAGTCAGTTGCCAGCAGACTAGAGGAAAATAATTCCTGTTGAAGCACTTGAATCAGCTGCCCCTAACATGAAGTTACATTGCGACCCATCAGATGGAAGCACAGCAGAGGGCGTGCAGAATGGCTGATGATATGTCTTACATATAAAGCAGACAGTGGTGCCATATCCAGAAGGTTGGCTTCTTCCTTCTCAGCACCTTTAGCAGTCCCCACAGTGCCTTACAGAATCATTTCAGGCCTAGATACTAGGTACCTCAGAGAATGAGGAACATAAATCAGCCTTTGGCCTTCTGCGGCAGGGTCCGTCACTCTGCTTTGCGTGTGTGCCCATTTGGCACTAATGGTCCACCACAGATAAAATTTTCTGCTGTTTAGCTCTGAAATTTTCAGCTAAAGAATTAGGAATTAGATGTTCCTTTTGGAAAGTTTGGTAATTGCTGGTAGCTTTCTAGAAGAAAAAAAATTAGGAAGCTGCATTTTTGAATAAGCTTCAGAGAGGATATACTGTTGTATTTGAAAGACAAGGCTGACCTCCTCCATACAGTAGTATGCATGAAACTTGGTTTCAGAGGGATTAAATGCACAATTTAATTTGAAAACATCAAACATTAAACAGTCATTAAACTAGATTGTGAGATTTCAATTAGCTATATGTAATATATAACAAAAAAATTAATTTCTATTTTATAAAACTGAAAGCATTAAAAAGAAAATTCATTTTAGTTGCAATAGAATGTGTGTGTTTTTAACTCTAATTCGCATGACAGAAACTATAATATAATTTAGGTTTTTGCATATAAAAATTGAGACACAGGCTTTTTGGGTTTTCTGATTTAATCCATGACTACTTTGTTTCATAAAATATATACTTTTCTTTTTCTGTTAGTGCCTATCAGAATAATGATATTACTGAATTTGAAAAGATTCTGAAAACAAATCACAGCAACATCATGGATGATCCTTTCATTAGAGAACACATTGAAGGTATATTCTTTGGGCTACTTTCTTTGTCACTGTCTTAAGAGTGCTTCTTAGTGGAGCTGACTAGACTTAAGTGTTTGACTTCTGTTTATTGCAAAGTGTAGCAGTATTTCTAAATGTTGTCATGGAATAGAATACTCCCTGAAATTATAAAGATGTTTTAAAGAAATCACAGCCAGTTTCGTATTAACATAATCAAGTTCTTATATAATGTCCATTTCATATTAGAATGGACATCATTGGCTGTCTCTTTTCCTTTTTTATTCTAATGTGAATATTGTTGCATGTTTTTTACTGATGCTTAGTTTTAAATTAATTTTTAGAATTTATTTTTTAAAATATATTTTATTGAATTCAGAGAGTAAGGGAGAGAGAGAGAGAGAAAGAGGGAGGTGGGGGAGGGAAGAAATATCAATGATGAAAGAATCATTGATTGGCTGTCTCCTGCATGCCCCACACTAGGGATCCAGCTGGGGTGGACATATACTCTGACTGGGAATCAAACCATGACCTCCTGGTTCAAGGTTGATGTTCAACCATTGAGCCACGCCAGGTGGGCTGGAATTTATTTTTAACAAATAGCAAAAGCATTGAAAATAGCCCATTATAGATAATGCTGAGATGCGTTTATTTTGAAACATTAAAATTGTATAAGTAAGTGTGAGATTTTTTTTTAAATATATTTTTATTGATTTCAGAGAGGGAAAGAGAGAGAGAAACATCAATAATGAGAGAGAATCATTGATTGGCTGCCTTCTGCACACCCCATACTGATATCAAGCCTGCAGCCCAGGCATGGGCCCTACCTGGAATCAAACTGTGACCTCCAGGTTCATAGTTCAACACTCCACCACTGAGCCACGCTGGCTGGGCAAGTGTTGTAAGATTTTTTAGTAAGTTCTGTTGGATTCACAAAGACAGAAGTCATTCCTTTGTTCTGGGGCCTCTTATGCCTCCAGTATTCCCACCTGTTATGGAACTATAGAGGGGTTTATTAATAACCATTTGGAAATATAAAATTGCAGATGTATTAAGAAAATCCAAAGGGTACTTTAGAAGTAATGTTTTTTGTTCCCCACCTTTCTTTCCCTTGCATTCAACAAACATTTTTAAAGTTCTTATATGAACCTAGAATTATATTGTACTTTGTGGAAATAGAACAATAGAAGTCTTATGCATGAACTCCAATCTGCTATTTTTTAAGAAGGCACTTGTACATGAAGAAACTGGGGAAAGTTGCAAATCGTTGTATCCTCCTATATAATAAAAAGCTAATATGCAAATTGTCCCCTCTGCAGGGGGTTCAACCAGGGGCTGGTCAGCCAACCACCCACAGCCCCTCCCCTGGGCCTTTCCCTGATCTAAGTGGGTATAGGGGGCCTATCAGGGCAGGCTGGCTGTACTCCCATCTGTGCACAAATTCTTGTACGGGGCCTCTAATAAAATGTAATAGTCTTAAGTTTTATAAGAGAGCATAAAGTAAGGAACTTCCCTGGTACAAATCATATCTTCTTGAAAGATGTTAACTACAGAGGAAATGATGAGTAGTGGAACATTGAGAAGGCAGGGGGGTATTTTAGGTAATGTCATACATGAGCAAAATTAAGGAGGTAATAACAAAAAATTACGGGAGAAGCTTCTAATCATACTATGCATTTGTTGGGCCCAAATATTTTTAGATCCAAATACCTTATATCCTTGCCAGACTGAAGAAGTATTATACATGATTATTCATAAAGATATACAAAATTAAATGCAAATATATCATCTTAATTTTTGTCTTTTCAGAGCTTTTGCGAAACATCAGAACACAAGTCCTCATAAAATTAATTAAGCCTTACACAAGAATACATATTCCTTTTATTTCTAAGGTATTTATATTAATGGATTTTAATATTTATGCCTGTTTTTTCCATTTAAAAGATGCCTGTTTTTTCCATTTAAAAGAGTCTAACTTTGTAACATTTTGTAGTATTATGTTTCTTAAATACAGCATAACTTAAAAGCTTTACTTAAAAAAAAAAAAAAAGCTTTACTTTTAATATGAATTTTTCTGTGTTTTCTTGGTGTAAATTGAGTTAACAGAAAAGAGAAATAAGAGTCATTAAATTTCTTTTTAAAGATTCTCTCAGCCTCAGAGAAAATTACAGAAGAGAGGGTAGTGGCTAAAATATATAATTGATGAAGAGTTAACCCCAACCATAATAAAATTGTGGTAAGAATGTATTTTAAAAGTTACAAAGTTAAATTTTATCATACCTGTGCTCTCAAAAGTATTTTGAAGTGATAATGAAATTTGTTATAAATTTCCTCTTCACTAATTTTTCTTTAAGTGGTGGAAATGAATTTAAAATCAGAATGATTTTATATAGTTTATATAAAATTGTGATTTTTTAAAAAGGTTTAATTAATAGAATTATAATGGTTCTTTTGTCTTAGGAGTTAAACATAGATGTAGCTGATGTGGAGAGCTTGCTGGTGCAGTGCATATTGGATAAGTAAGTATTTGGCTATTTTTATCATAAAATGTTTAGGACCATGAAGTTTGAATGATGATGGCAAAGGCAGTAGCAGATAAATTCTTGATTTTTCATTAGAAAACATCCTCTGGTTATGACTTTTTGCTAAAAGAGATATATTTAAGTGTGATTTTTAAAAAAATAAATGAGTGAGGATATAAAGTACATGATCTGTGAAAAAGTTCAAAATGCCTTTTAAGAAAGATTTTTCATTCAGTATATGGCTTATGTATAGTTAAAGAATTATTTCATGATTAATATTTTTTGTACAAGATATGATATATAATAATTTTGAAATTATATTTTTTAAAAGCAGTATTTTATTTAAAGCTTCACAAGTTATGCTTGTTCTTAATGAATTGGATAAATCTATACCTGTTGGTTCTTTCAATGAAATTGATGACAGGTATGGTTTCTGTCTGGAGTTTAAATAAGGCAATGACTATTATAATTAACCCTGAACTCAATCATTTATAATGTAGCTAGCAGTGGGGTGGGGCTTTTTGAATTTATTGATATTGTGGATATTTATGAAATATTCGTCTAGTACAGTGGTCGGCAAACTCATTAGTCAACAAAGCCAAATATCAACAGTACAACGATTGAAATTTCTTTTTTTCTTTTTTTTTTTAAATATATTTTATTGATTTTGTACAGATAGGAAGGGAGAGAGATAGAGAGTTAGAAACATCGATGAGAGAGTCATCGATCAGCTGCCTCTTGCACACCCCCTACCGGGGATATGCCCGCAACCAAGGTACATGCCCTTGACTGGAATCGAACCCGGGACCCTTCAGTCCCCAAGCCGACGCTCTATCCATTGAGCCAAACCGGTTTCGGCTGAAATTTCTTTTGAGAGCCAAATTTTTTAAACTTAAACTTCTTCTAACGCCACTTCTTCAAAATAGACTTGCCCAGGCCGTGGTTATTTTGTGGAAGAGCCACCCTCAAGGGGCCAATGAGCCACATTGGCTCACAAGCCGCAGTTTGCTGACCACAGGTCTAGAAGATATGCTTAGTGAAAATAGCTTGTAGACGTGTCTTCTTTCATTTATTTCCAGCACTATTCATGGCCGAATTGATCAAGTCAACCAACTCCTTGAACTGGATCATCAGAAGAGGGGTGGTGCCCGATACACTGCACTAGATAAATGGACCAACCAACTAAATTCTCTCAACCAGGCTGTAGTCAGTAAACTGGCTTAACAAAGAACAAGCTTTTACAGACATACTTAAGGCAACAGTGCAGAGATGTAATTCTTAAGAACTGGGAATGGCAAAACTACTGTCGGTTGATGTGTCCTGAAAATTGTTGGAGTTATGGCAGAAGTGCTTTTTTTGATCAACTGGTTTGTGTTTTGCTGCTGCATTTATCCCAAGAAAAACAGCTTTAATCTCCAGAAGAAAACCAAAATGCCATGGGATTTATGCTGTATTGACATCTTGCCCTAAACATACAACATCATAGTAATTTGTCATGGACAACATGACCAGAGAGAAGATTTTTGTCATTATTTTAAATACACTGACATGCTACTGTTGGTTAAATTTAAACATGTTTTACCTACAGAAATTCTCTCACAAATAACCTGCAATAACTTGAAATGCATACCCTTTTGAACACTTCCTTTTCTCATGTATAAATTAAAATGTTTGCTGCATTTTGCAAAATGTCAATTCTCCAAAAAATGTGTCCGTATATTTCTGTACCTGCAGTGTAGTAAAGGTTTAGATGAAACCCCATAATTATAGTGGCATACTGTCACTTAGGTTTCAAGCAGCAAAATAAACAGTGCAGCTCAGAAATTGTAGTTTGGTTCTTGATGTTTTATTATACTTGGGGTTTTTGTTTTGGTTATTAGTACCTTAGAAATTTCAAATTTTATCGTCAGTTTATTTTTAAAAGCCTGAGAGCAAATAAGTTAGCTGTTTGCTTTCAAGTTTTTAGAGTAAGTCTATTGAGAAAGTAAGTAGAACTAGTTTCTAACAAAACATTTGCATAGTACTTACTTTAACAGTGATGCTTTAAAGGAATAATTTTTTTTTTTTTTAAGAATGATATTCCTTTTTCAAAGAGTAAGTTCTAACTCTTAGAATGTTCACTATAAACAAATATGCCAGAACATAGACAGCTAAATGAATGTTACTCTGCATAGTGTCATACTGGAAAATTGTTTCCTAATTCCAGCTATTTACCATTGCTCAAAGTCTTGGATTTTGCTCTTTTAGAATTGCATTCATAGCTAATTTTAAGTCACAAAAGCTATTACACTTTGTTTGTATTTAAAGTACTACAAGATTAAATGTCCTATAGTTACCATTATTTGGCACTGAGTAACTTTTTACCATTTCTGAAAATTAAATCTTTGAGGTAATCTTTGAAAGTATATAACTCACTGGCTTTGGAGGCAGTCCCAAAAGAGTTTTACAGGTATTTTGAGCAGTGGTAACAAAGTTAAGAGAATGAACTGTAGCCTTCCAAGGTGTCTTCCTTAAAGGATTTGCAGCTCATTTGAATGTATTAAAATTTGGATTTATTTGTTTCTTTTAAAAAAAAACAAAGTTCACATTATTTTGTAGTATCTAAAGGAAGAAGTAAGATTAAGATAATTTCTTTGGTTTTTCTATTGCTTGTTATTATGTTAAAAGAAGTGAGTGGCAGTTCAGGAGGAAGACTGTTTGTTGTAACTGAAGAATGACAACCAAGAATTTTTGATCATTAAATCAGATTTTATAAACAGTGGAAGGAGCATGGACTTAAAACAAGGCATGCTTATTCGGTTTTGTCAAAATTTTACGAAAATATGTGATATATATTTATACTAAAACTATATAATCCTTAGATTTAGGAAAGCAATCAGTTAATGTCTTCAGCAGATTAAAGCAGTATTAAATACAGGTGCGAGTTGGAAATTGTAGAAAACAAAGAAAACAGGACAAAATGTCTCTGGTAGGGAATAAAAAAGTTTAAGATATAAATTATGTGTATTTTCTTTTTTACATAAATTTTTGAAAAGTGTGCTAAAATTCTTTCACATGAGTGATTATTAGGATTTATTATTCAATATAATTTGGAGACCGTTTGTTACCCAAATAAACATGACAAGTTTCTGTGCTTGTATTCACATATGTATGTGAAAACTCTAGGAGGGAAAGCCCTATTTACTCTGAGTTGGTAGAATTAGAATTCAAAAGAGTAGAATGATATGATTTGACCCTTACTTTCTAACTCTTACAATGCCCAGTCCCCCTGTGATATCTTTGCTATGTTCAGTGGTGCACTTTCCTGTTTCTAGAGGGAAATCATGCACTTGTTATTCTTTAGGAAACTGGCTAACTGTATAACAATATCCAAAGTTACATCATAATCTTTAATATGATTGTATGAATCTCATAGGTTTTGTTTAATATTCCCTAGATAGAGGCTTAATCTTTTTTTTTTTTAAGTCATTGGCCACATTTGTTCTAGAATATAGGTTTTTTAGAATATAGGTTTTTTATAATCTTAACAGTCTGACTAATTTAACAATTTATTTTTCCCTTCATACATTTTCTATGTTCTTGTGCTTCAAATCTTAAGAGATTTCAACTCTACAAAACTAAATTGAAGAGAAGTAAGAAACATGGCAAATTTTTAACATATAAGTCTTTTCCTTTTGTGAAAACTGAGGGAACAAGCAGCATACATCAAATTGTAATGTGTTTATCCCCTTTTTCTTTTTAATCCTAAGCCTGGATAAACTCCCTTTGGTTGCCACAAATACTACATGCTATCTGTTTATAAAAGCTAGATTTCTGTTATTCATCCTAGCTCTTAGTTTGATTTTAAAATTGTTAATTATTTTTTCCTCCATATCTGAATGTAGCATAACCTTTTTCTAAAATGATGGTTTGTGTAATAAGTATTGTTTTCATTATCCATGATGGATCCTGGCTGAGAGGCTCGGTTGGAGCATCATCCCGCACACCAAAAGGTTGTAGGTTTGATTTCGGGTCATGGCACATATGTAGGTTGCAGATTCAATCCCTTATTGGGGCATGTACAAGAGGCAACCAATGTTCTCACATAGATGTTTTTTCTTTTCTTTTCCTTCCTCTCTCTAGAAATGAATGAAAACATCCTCAAGTGAGGATTAAAATAAATAAAATGTCCATGATGGTAAGAATTTTTAAAGACATTTTCTTTTTTAACCAATAGTCTTTATGATTATTCAAGAAACAGGTGAGTACACTTGTTTTGGGGTAGTGATGAAGTTAAGGGTGTCTAATAAGAATATATACAGCTGATTATGTTGGAACAGAATTGAGTCCGTTTAGTCCATAGGATAACAAGGTATATTTGCCTAATGGAATCTTCTTTTTTAGAAGACTCAGAGAAACTCTAGCCATTTATTACCAAGGCTGCTTTGTAAAAAATACTATTTTAAATAAACATGCAAAGTTTTTATTTATTTTAGGTCTTTAAAGTGAAACTTTAGCATACAAAACTCTACTAAAGATAGTTTTATTCTTTATATTGATTTATAATATCTTTGGATTTATAACATCTTTTTAAAAAATATATTTTATTGATTTTTTACAGAGAGGAAGAGAGAGTTAGAAACATCGATGAGAGAGAAATATCAATCAGCTGCCTTTTGCATGCTCCCCACTGGGGATGTGCCCGCAAGCAAGGTACATGCCCTTGACCGAAATCAAACCTAGGATCTTTCAGTCCACAGGCTGACACTATCTACTGAGCCAAACCGGTCTCCACGATTTATAACATCTTGAAGAAGATAAGCAACATTTTGAATTGAGATATGTAACAAATAACAAAGGAATTGTCTTTTTCAAATTTTTTGGAGATAACATTGACATAAGAAAATTATTTTTTTTAATTTCTGACCCAGATAATTATTCCATAAATAATAGCTAGTAGTCATCATAGTCAAGTACTTTTTTGGGGTTGAAAGGATTTACTTTGTCCATCTTCTTATTCACTTTTTAATATTAGGCCTTTGATCTCACATCTAATATAATTAGGTCTTTAACTATTTTGTTTTGAAGTGTCAATAATACTGTCGAGGTACTTAGAATAAGGCCTCAGAACTTGAAGCTCAAGGTGTTTGTATGTCTATAAATATGTCTCTCTTTTCCGAGACTAGCACAGCTAGAGTGCAGACAGGAGGCCTGAGTAGGGCAATGGGGGATTGAGAAAATGAAATAGACACAGAGACAGTAGGGAAAGGACCCAGAGACGATACAGCAAGTTTATTTTATACTGTAAGATACCAGGAAGTTTTACTAAAGTTTAAGATAAAATATGTGCATTCTTGTGACTTTTTGTAATTGTCACTTCTGGGTGGGCCCAGATAATTGTGTTTGCTCCTGGTACCTGGCTGGATTTAGATAATGAAATCCACCCCCTGGCGCCTGAGCTAATGGTCAGACTGACAACACACCTGCCCCTGGCAAGGTATGTTTCCAGGGCATGGCTCTGCCAGGCACTACTGGTTCAGAGGACAATCAGCTCAGGGGCCTTTCCCAGTCATTCTCTACATAGGACCAAAATCAATTTTTCTCCTTTCTTTTTTGGAAGATTTTACTTATTTTTTGTTGTTGTTTTTGTTTTAATAGATTTTTATTGATTTCAAAGAGAAAGGGAGAGGTAGAAAGAAACATCAGTGATGAAAGAGAATCATTGATTGGCTGCCTTCTGCATGGCCCCTACTGGGGGTCTTGGGATCGAGCCCACAACCTGGGCAAGTGCCCGTAGGCTGATGCTCTGTCCACTAAGGCAAATGGCTAGGGCTGAGGGGTTTGTTTTTATTGTTGTTATAGTTTATTCTTGTTTTGTTCGTTTTTTTGCATTAGGTGTCCCATCCCTGGCAGCATCCTATATATGTGTTGATAAAATTATAAGTAGAAATAATTGGTAAGAATTTCCTTAATGTAGATATCAGATATTCTTAACTTTTATAATGTAAGCATATCAATGGTTCTATTTTACTCAAGATTATTAAATGTTGCTGTTTCTTCTAGCTATGATGTGCCCTTCATGGCATGGATTAGCCAGTTCAAAAATTTTGTATGCTTTGAATCACTAGATAAGATTTGAGAACGTTTAGCTTTTGGAATTTCACATCAAGTTACAATGGTAATGCCATTTCAAGGATTTTTTATCTTATTTTTTGTTAATCCTCACACAAGGACATTGTTTTCAT